CACAATCCTTCCTTTATGAAAGGTCACCCTATTTGTAGACATTTTATTCGTTCGCCCCCCCCGTTTGCTCCGTCCCCTTTTTTTTCGCCCACTTTCACTCTTGTCTTCCCTTCAGTTACCCCTTTTTTAAATTTTATGTAGATTCCCCTTTTTCCCCACCCCCCCGGGGAAATTCAGCTGTTGGGTCTGTTCTTTCTCACTCCTTGCTCGAAAGCTCAATGCCTACGGTGGCTTCCCCCTCTCTTTTTTTTTATCATTCCATCCATTCTCATGCCACCGCGTGTACACGATGGGTTAAGTCTTAACGGCGTCGGATTTTGCGCAAATGTTTCGGGCACGTCGTACGAGGGATTTTTTTATTTCGCCATTTTTACTGCTGAACTGTATGCCCCTTCTTGCCGCACTTTCGTATCGCATCTATGCCTTGCATCATTTGTAGTATCTCAGACTCCCTTAGGCCTACAGCCCATACGAAAATTTTAAACATCTATCCCTGTTTCCCCATCCAACTTTTGGGACGCCATCTTACCAAACATAAAGATATTGTTTTTTTTGGGTCCCTGGTCATTCGATCAGGGAAGAAAAGGCAGACATGCTGCCCGGTCGCGTTATGACCTACCCAAATTTCCCATCGAGGGGTTCCATTTCTGGACATTTTTTCTGCAATAGCTACCCCACCTTCGACCCCCTTGGAACCGTTGGTCAACTCTGCTCGGGAAAAACTTCATTTTTAAACCCAGCATAGGGATGGCCGTTTCTTGTCATCAGTGCCGGGGTTTGGGGGACCACTTCTCCCGCCCTTTGCATTGGCCCCCACTCCGCTTACTCATGGGGGATCTATGGGAGGCACCCCCGTTCCCCCTTTTTGAGCAGTGTCAAGTTCCAGTATCAATTTCCCACTTTGTTTTATCCCTCCTATCAACGAGCAGCGAAATTTCCCCAACGTCGTCTTCGTTCTCCTACTCTCTCTTTACCTTCCCTTTTGTGATGGACCCTCCTTTAATCCCCGACTCTTCTTTTACTTCTTGACAACGACGATTTACCCCAAACTTGATGTACTTTTGCCCCCCAGCCCTTTCTGGTTCGTTCTTGCGCCCTTTACCTTTCACCATCACTGCCCCCTGTTATCCGTAACCGTTCTCATCCATCTCCCTTTTCCCACCTGATGCCCCGCTTCCTTCCCGGCCCTCAGCGCTGTTATCCGGGCTTAGCGTTCTTTTGTTATAATAAAAAGGGTGAAGGGCTCTTGTTCCAAGTATTGGAGCTACACTCCTTTACCCTTGGATCAAACTTGATTACCTTCCTTTTCCCCAGCACTGTATGACCCTTATGGGATCAGCACTTTCACATAGTAATATAAATGAAAAAGTCTGAGCTTAAAACTGATAAGTCCTAATGTTATATAAAAGGATATAAAAATATTTAACCTATTAAGTGTATGATAAATTACTTGAATTGTAGATATATGGCTAAGTTTTTATAAGTGTCTGTGAAGTGCTAAACCCATCTGGGCCTTTAGTTTGTCTGTAATGCTTTCAATGAGTGGTTCTTTTAAATATGAAGTTGATTCTTCACTTATTTGGTTACAGTTCTCATACAATTAATAAGTTATTGTAACTGCTGTAACTTCTGTCTATAAGATATGAGGATTTTTATTTTTTTTATCCAGCACAAGTTGTGGAGGCTCAATCCTCCATCCATTACTGAGAAACTACCATTCGGAGCTGTGCGACCCATATGGGTTTAGCCCTTAGAAACCACACCATTAGATAATTACTATATTCAAAAGAAAGCACTAAACCTAAATAGTGTCACAGCACCAAATGACAGGGAGGAAGCATGTTTAAGGGAAGACAAGTACAGAAAAGGTGGAGTCAGTACAATGAACCACATCATCATGCATTAAGGGGCACTAAAATGTTGTAAATGTAGAAAATGTTTTTGAAAAACAACAAATCTAAAAAAGTAAAATTTTTGTTGCATAACCTGTAGGAATACTTACTGTTGTAGCATGTATACTCAACTATTTATTCCTTTATACAACTATGTATTATGTCAAAATAAAATATTATTATTACTTATTATTATTATTACTTAGTGAAGGGATTCAGGGAAACCGGTTATTTTCATATAGTCGGACTTGAGTCCTGGAAAGGGGTACAATGCCTGACTTTAAAGAGGGGTTGGGATTTTGGCAGTTTAGAGGGATATGTTGTGTATCTTTATATGTGTATGCTTCTAAACTGTTGTATTCTGAGCACCTCTGCAAAAACAGTGATAATGTGCAAGTGTGGTGAAAGTGTTGAATGATGATGAAAGTATTTTCTTTTTGGGGATTTTCTTTCTTTTTTGGGTCACCCTCCCTCGGGGGGGAGACGGCCGACTTTTAAAAAAAAAAAAACTTTTTCCCCTTTGGATTAATACTTTAAAACCAACTAATTAAGCTTTTTGAATGAATCAGGTAAAATAAAAAAAGGATTTTTATATAGATTTGGTTTTAACAAATGTTTTTAAATGGTTAATTTTTTAAAGGGCAATATTCGATAGTTTTGTAAATTTGAAAACTAAAAAGTAACTTTAATTGATTTGCTAAAGTATTGAAAAACATTCCCCCGGGAATTCAGCATTGGTAATGTACTAAAGGGAAATTTTTGAAAAAAAAAAATTTAAAAGTCACCCAAAAATAAAAAAAAAATTGCAATGAGTCATTAACAAGCTATGCATGATACAGTGCTTCAAATTAGCAGAAAACAATTTTTTTTTTTTTTTTCTCAACAAGTCGGTCGTCTCCCACCGAGGCAGGGTGACCCAAAAAAGAAAGAAGACAATTATGGTATATATATAAACAATTAGGGCCACATATACACTGGATGGGTAGATGGTTTGGTTGTGGATCAGGGATGAAAGGCCACAGTCAGTGATGATGACCTCAGTGGTGGAAGCATGACCTGCAGCAGCTTGGACCACTTCCAGCCCTGAGGAAACCTCACCAATGGGGTACCGGAACTGTCCTCCTGGTTCACCTCTGGTGCAGATGATAAAACCAGCTGTACAGAGTCGATTCACACGCAACGTGTTCATAGTAGTCTGGCAATCAATACGCAGTGTTCCCGCTTTTATGGTTCTTTGTAATAATCGCCAGACTCCAGATGAGTTAATAAATTTTCTTTTAGTTTGCCTTTATTTTGATCAACATAGTAATCAACTGCAATATATTCCTTGTCTTGAAATTCATTTTTAACAGTTCTTATGGAACTGCCAAATTATGTGGGCCCCGAGAGCCCAAAGGGAGAGCAGCAGGAATTTCTGTGCAGACGCAAGCAGGGCAAAAGCTGGTTAAAACCCCACCCCAACAACGACCTCAAAAATCAACCCAGGAAAACCCCTGAGGCATCTGTAAGAGAAATTTACTGTTGGATACTTGTTATTTAACTGAAAGATGAATGTCATTGGGGAAAAACTTCCTAAACAGAGTTTGGGAACAAAAGTAAAACCTTAATTTTTCCACTCCGATTTCAACCAGTTAAAAAAATGTCTCCATATGGAAGTGGAATAGAACTTCCTGCATAAGCCATGCATGTCATAAGAGGAGACTAAAATGCTGGGAGCAAGGGGCTAGTAACCCTTTCTCCTCTAAAAATTTTTCCCCGATAGTAACAATGTGTAGTTTACATGTAGCAAAATACTGTTATGTGCAAAGAAAGCCACTAGCATGAGTGTTGCGAGCAGACTAATCCTAATGCTTACACACTAATTATATACACAAGTTACAGAATGGTGAATTTTTATTATACATTTTCTTTTTCATTAAGCAAGTGGTTGAGTTAATAAAAAAAAAAAGGGCCCTACCATGAACTTTTTAAGTTCATGGAAAAAATGCATGATGCTTTAGTTTAGTTGTAGTTTGTGTAACTTTTTTAGAAATTTCTTACCAAAATTTTTTGCTTGACAAAAATATTAAAAATTGGTAAAAACCCTTTTTACAGCATTTGGGATTAAAATTTCCCACATAAATCATCTATATTTTTTGGGGGGACTTTAAACTGTATTATCTGAGTGCCCCTGAAAGACAGTGTTATGTATGAGTTTAGGTGAAAATGTTGAATGATGAAACATTTTTCTTTCTTTTTTTGGGCACCCTGCCCTTTGGGGGGAAATGGCCATGGTTTAAAAAATATTGGCAGTTTGGAGGGTTGTTGTGTATCTTTTATGTGTATGCTTCTGACTGTTGATTCGGCCCCTGCAAAACAGTGATAATGTCGAGTGTGGTGAAAAAATGTTGAATGGGTGATGAAAGTATTTTCTTTTTGGGGATTTTCTTTTTTTTTTTGGGTACCCCGCCTCGGTGGGAACGGCCGACTTTTTTGAAAAAAAAAAAAAAAAATATTATTATTTATATATTATATAATAATCAGGTCCCCCAAATAAGTTGTTTCATTATAAACTGGAGAAAAAAATACAAATTTTTTTTCAATAATTTTTTTCATTGTATGAAAACAAATTATTTTAAATAAAAATTTGTAAAATACAGGTAATTACAGATGCACAACAAAAAGATCAGTATAAGGGGGGGGGGCACTAATCAAGGCCACCATATTTGTTATCATTTGTTTTTGAACTGCCTGGTGGTATCAGGTGCTCTTTATAATTTTCATTTTGTAAACATTTATTCCTTGATTTAACCCTGTTGCAATGAGTGATAAAGGTGCACTGTGCACCCCTGATGTCTGTGGCCACAAAATACTGAGAAGTTTTAAAAAGGTTTGTTTATATCATTTAGCTTATTGTTAAATGGGTTTCATTTATGTTGTTTCACTTAAAGTCGCAGTTTCCAAGAATCTATCAAAGACGATGAGTGAGGACACACTGTACTAACATACTGACTTGAAATGGAAATTATTGCAAGCGGAGGACACAGGCGACAAATAACTTTTAGATATACATGTAATTATAATAATTAAAATTGTTTATTGAACTGTCTGGTATACTATCAGAGTTACCTTTAAGAAGAGGTGATTGCCAACACTCTTAGCGAGTGAGTGCAGCAAAAGTTTACCATCCCGATAGTCCAGTTGGGCATGGTGACACTCGACAGTCTGATGGGTGCCATGCTGGGGTAAGGTTGATGTTACAGCTGAAACACAGCTGCACAAGCCTTCCTTTGTGCTGCTGCTGCTGTTGCATCTGCCACTACACACGCTCTGACTCTTGCACATACGCTTGCTGGAACGAGTAACCATCATCACTCTTCGTCCCCTCTGTGGCTGTAGCTGCTGGGAAATGGCTATGTCAGCATTATTTTTTGTTGCTGCTACCACTCTTAATGTCATTACTGCTAAGGATGCTCCTGCTTCTACAGCTAAGGTTGTTCCTGCTTCTACAGCTGTGGCTGCTCCTGCTTCTACAGCTCCTGGTCCTCCTCCAACTTCTACTCCGTTTGAACCTGCATGTTCTTTGTTGACCTCAACTTTTGAGTCACTTCCAGACAACACAGACAAATATTTAAATTCTGATTCTGTATCAATAATCTTTACTTTTTCTTCAAAAACCAGCATACACCTGACCTTGGAAATCTTTTCAATTTCTGTTAAAAGACCCTTGGTATTTCTCTCAAGATCATAAAGCTGAGTACCTCTCAGGCACTGCATCCTCATCTTCTGGCAACTGTTGTAAAACTTGCTCTTGATTTCCGCTTTCTCATCCCCTATTTTATCTATTCTTGATTTGATGTAATCTTTCAGTTCTGATTTCTTCTCTTTGACATAAGTCATGGCCAACTGCACCGGATGGTTATTTGGATGTTCAGAGTAGAGGCAGACACCGCAGAGCTCCACTCGACACTGAACACACCAGTACCTCAGCTCATCACCATGCTTACCGCACAAATCATACTGATGGGAACAAAATAATCGTTATTAGCTTTGTGAATTCATAAATTATAGTGATAAACTATATTTCTGTATTCATTGATACTTCAGAGAAAGCTAACAAGTAATTGGCTCATTGTGCCTCAAGATGCAAGTCACTCCTGAATATTATTATCTAAAAGTTAATGAAAATAGTTATGTAATTACTGAATATATTTTGATCTTCAATATATTGTGCAAAGAAATATCTGTCATGACTCGTAAAATTAGTGAACCTATTAGCTTTAAGCTAGGCCTATTAACTACCCAAGGGTCACTGAGATTGCAATCTGCCAGGACACTATTATCAAGAGTACTTTAACTCATAACATTGGGATTATGGTAAAGTTTTAGTTTATATAGACACATACAGCTCTCAAGTGAATATAAACCACAAATAAAATTAAAGTATACTTTCAACAACATTAAATAGCATAAATAAAGATGAATTGAAAAATAAAAAATAAAATAAAACTTTTATTTCTTATAGGCCATATGAAGAAGTTACAGTAGTTATATATTCCAACTGATGTGTTTATGACTTTAATATCATTGTAATATAGATATAATTTGTTACAAGTGAAGGCTCAGAAGAAAATCACTATGCAATGCATTTTGGGCAGACTAAACATAAGGCTTACATACTACTTAAATCTAGATCTATTATATTAGTCAATGAGTATTAGTACAGCCCAAGTAATCCATTATACAGGCATACCTCACTGATATGGCAGTTAGGTTTCAGACCACTCCTGAAAAGTGAATCACAGCCTTTTATTCACTTGCCAGTGAATAAAAGGCTGTGATTCACTTTACAGGGGAAGTCTGAACAAATGAACAATGAGTATAATTGAAAAATTAGTGAAACTCCACAGTGTGAAGTGCTGTAAAGCAGGGCCTGCCTGAATGGAGTCCAAGAGATACATACTTGGTCCTTGCAAGGACCCCAATGGAAATAAGTCACTTTAACCTTTTTAGGGCTATCCTAGGTCATTTATTCATATGCTACTATGTATGATAATTTGTGTAACTGTATTTGTGTGTGTCTGTACCTAAATAAACTTACTATGTCTACGTGTTCTGTTGCAGTACTCCAGACAGAATTTAAGCCATGGGTTAATGTTTGAATTTAATGCTCTATCAACATAACATGCACAGTAGGAAGTGTGAATATTTTGTACCAACATCACCCTTTATCCTAGGTAGTAGGCTGGTAAACAGCAACTGCCCAGGGAGGTACTACCCTCCTGCCAAGTGAGTGTAAAACAGAAGCCTGTAATTGTTTTACATAATGGTAGGATTGCTGGTGTCTTTTTTTTCTGTCTCATACACATGCAAGATTTCAGGTATGTCTTGCTACTTTTACTTACACTTAGGTCACACTGCACATACATGTAATACATGTACAAGCATATGTATACATACCCCTCTGGGTTTTCTTCTATTTTCTTTCTAGTTCTTGTTCTTGTCTATTTCCTGTTCTCTCCATGGTGAAGTGGAACAGAATTCTTCCTCCGTAAGCCATGCGTGTTGTAAGAGACAACTAAAATGCCGGGAGCAAGGGGCTAGTAACCCCTTCTCCTGTATATATTACTAAATGTAAAAGGAGCTTTCGTTTTTCCTTTTGGGCCACCCCGCCTCGGTGGGATACGGCCGGTGTGTTGAAAGAAAGATCACCCTTTATATAGAAAAATCATTATTCGTCATTTAAGGAAATAAATTATGCCTCTAATTAGATATCATGGAGAAGTGGAAAAGAATTCTTCCTGTGTAAGCCATACATGTCATATTATTATTATTATTATTATTATAATCAAAAAGAAGTGCTAAGCCACAAGGGCTATACAGCGCTACAGGGCAGGGTATCAGGTGGCAAAAGGGAGATGGATGAGTAATAGGTTACAGAGAATAGTGAGGCAGTGGATGGTGAAAGGGTAGAGGGCAGCAAGAGATTGAGGTAGAAAGGGCTGAGGGGAGTGCGAAAGGTATCATCATCAGAGTTTGTGGAGTAAATCAGTCGTTGTCAAGAAGTCAATGAGAGAGTCAGGATTAAAGGAGGGTCCATCAGCAAGAAGGGAAGGTAAAGAGAGAGTAGTAGAGCGGAGACGACGTTGGAGGTAAATTCTGCATGCTCGTTGATAGAGAGGGTAGTCTAACAGAATGTGGCTAATGGATACTGAAACTTGACACTGCTCACAGAGAGGAACAGGGTGCCTCTCCATGAGATACCCATGAGTAAGACGAGTGTGGCCAATGCGAAGGCGGGAAAGAGTAGTCTCCCAACCTCGGCACTGATGACAAGAAGACAGCCAGTAACCTATGCTCGGTTTAATAGAATGAAGTTTGTTACCGAGTAAAGTTGACCAACGTTGTTGTCAACGGGTGTGAAGGTGGGTAGCTATTACAGCAAAATACTATTCTGGAAATGGAACACCTCTATATGAAATTGGTAGGTCATGTACCGCTGACTGCGCAGCAGTGTCTGCCTGTTCATTGCCCTGTACGTCAATATGACCAGGGACCCAACAAAAAACAATATCTTTATGCTTGGTGGAGATTCGCCGTAGCCAAAGTTGGATACTGAGAACTAGGGGGTGAGGTGTATCAAATTTCCGTATAGCCTGTAGAGCACTATGGGAATCTGAGACAACCACAAATGATGACACAGGCATAGATGCGATACAAATAAGTGCATACATGTCATAAAAAGTGACTTAAATGCCTAGTTTACCTGGAGAGAGTTCCGGGGGTCAACGCCCCCGCGGCCCGGTCTGTGACCAGGCCTCCTGGTGGATCAGAGCCTGATCAACCAGTAACCCTTTCTCCTGTATAAATTATTAAATTTAAAAAGAAAAACTTTAATTTTTCTTTTTAGGTCTTCCTGCCTTAGTGGGATATGGCCAGTTCATTGGAAAAAAAAATAAATATGAAAATTACTGGACAAGGCACTGGACAAGCACTTAAAGTCGGTACCTGACCAGCCGGGCTGTGGCTCGTACGTTGGATTGCATGCAGCCAGCAGTAACAGCCTGGTTGATCAACCCCTGATCCACCTGGTCACAGACCGGGCCACAGGGGCGCTGACCCCCAGAACTCTCTCTAGGTATATCAGTGTATACAAGTACAGATGCTCCTTGCTTTACAATGGTTCAACTTACGATATTTCAACTTTACAATGGTGTGACAGTAATGCACATTCTGTACTATACAGTGCTGTACTGTACTGTATGATGGTTTGACTTACAATATTTCGACCTTACAATGGTGCAATACTGATGTACCTCCTGCAATGTACAGTAATGTACATTTAATGGCAGGATAAAATTGTATTCATTTATTTACTTTTCAACACTGGTACAGTGGTACCCCGAGTTTCGTACAGCTCCCAACTCGAACAATTATGTAAGTATATATTACTGTAAGTGATTTTGTAAGTGTATTTTTTGGGGGTCTGAAACAGACTAATCTAATTTACATTATTCCTTATGGGAACAAATTCGTTTGGTAACAGCACTCGAACAGCCTTCTGGAATGAATTATGTATGAAACTTGGGGTACTACTGTATTTAGTTATGTAATTATTTATTTGCTTATTCAGTGACTGTAGGTATTTATCTACTTATTTAGAAAAGGATGGAGGAAGGGGCAAAAGAGGTTTTGTGTGAAAGGTGCTTGGACATACAACAGGCATGTATGAGCATGTTAGATGGGAGTGAATGGAGACAAATGGTTTTTGGGAATTGACGAGCCATTGGAGTGTGAGTACTGTAATATTTTGTGAAGGGATTCAGGAAAACTGATGAAAGTGTTGAATGATGGTAAAAGTGTTTCTTTCTTTTTTGGATCACCCTGCCTCGGTGGGAGACAGGCAGCATGTTAAAAAAAAATATTCATGTTCAACTTACAATATTTTCAACTTACAATGGGTTCTTCAGAACGTAACCCCATCATAAGGTCGAGGAGTACCTCTAAAAAAAGTATGTATAACTGCAGATGCACTTTCCAAAATTTATTACTATGTACCGAGGCCTGATCTCAGACCCCTGAAACCCTCTCCAGGTATACCCCAAATTCTACTGCTAGCCCTACACTCTCCATTCATTTGTCCATGTTTTACATAAGGAATTTGAACTAGGGGATTAGCATCAGACACTCACTACAAACCATTCAACAAATTATAGGCAACACTCAGTGCCCTTATTCAAATCTCTAAATCTTTTAAATATAAATATTGTCTATATGTTCAACTGTTTGATACACATTTTTTAAGACCCTGAACTGTAGTGTTGACCCTAATCACAGGCTCTTCACTGAGCTGTGACAGAACTTTCTGGCATCTCACTAGAAATAAATACCTCTCCAATATTCCTCCTGTTCATCTGAAACTGCAAATAAATAGTAGAATGTTTGAAATAGCTTACCAGGCAAAGCAATAAAAGGTGTACGTTATGAAAAAGTAATGTTGTACCTAGCTTAAATAATAAAAAATTAATCCCCATATATACAAGTGTCCTTCCCATTATTATCAAACTATTTTATTTAGATTATATACACCTCATATTCATGGCGTTATTGTAAAATTTAGCTCTTTAATTTTAACATAACTTCTTTTATATATGTATTAAATTATTAAGCAATAAGTGTCCTTAGCTCTATGTAATAAATGTGTTCTTGGTTGATGGCACATAAGGTGAATTCACATAAATTGAACTTATCATAACATGTAACAACAGGGATTCATTCTGAGACTGCAAGTTCCACATATATTTTCTTATTTTTTTTACCAAATGTATTCATACTTTGTGAGTATTCATTTCATGCACGAATAAAGAAATCACTTTTCTTTTGTAGAGATTGATCACGGAGTGTAGATTTATTGTTACAGTGTGTTAGCATGGGCAGGGTAGGACTGGAGCTTTTGTGTTTTGGATGTGTTTAGTAGGTGAGGCACGAGACATCCCACAACACTCACTCTCACACTCACTATTACTTTCAACACACTATATAAGCTCACTGGATGTACCACACTAAAATCTGTTTTCTTTCTACTACTATCTTATGAATATGGTATCAACATTAATGAGATAACTGATAATGAACAAGAGATTGGTATAAACATAAGTAGTGGCAAGCTGGGATGATCGCACGAGTAAAAATGCACAGCAACCACCTGCTCCAATCACATAACAGCAAACTTTTACCGCATTTTGCCGAATTTAAGTAAATTTGTAAACAGTGATTTTGCATGAAGCAAGAGAAATCTGTAATATATATACATACATATATATTTTTTTAGATTTACCACATCGGTCATTGGTAGGGTGATCAAAAAGAGAAAATACATTCACTATCATTCATTCAATGTCTTGTCATCAGAATGTAAATGTCGCAATTCAAATGAGCCTCTGAACTGCAACATCCCCACTCTAAGGTTATAAAAGTCATGATTTACTTTAAATGATTGTGTATTTTTCTTCTTGTATCTAAAACATTTTCTCACTCATTTAAATTTCTGATTTTACTTAACCTACTTCCAAACATATTTAATCAAATTCCTGTGTTAGACTGCCTGAAATGATGAGAATAATGTAGACTTTCAAAAAATATTATTTTACTATGTACTGTATATTATACCCACAGTAGACTTCCAAAAAATATTATTTTACTATGTCCTGTATATTATACCCACAGCAAACTTTCAAAAAATATTATTTTACTGTGTTGTATATTATACCCACAATGTCAGACACCTATGTCAGTAATTTTTTCAACAAATATAAAATTCAAGTTAACAAGTAACCTATGTTCTAGATTACTTATGACACAGCTCTAATATCATACAATTCTATTTATTAACATTCCTGATAGTGAAAAATTAAAGTCAGTCTGAGGAAAAGAAAGCTGTAATAATTATTTCTATTTCTTTTTATTTTGGTGTAGACTCTGGGGAGACTAATAGCACAAGTGTTCAATGTTAAGTTTATCCTTTGTTCTGTTTTATCCTTGAAACAATGAATTATAAAATATCATGCAGGCTTTTTGTATGTTGAGTGTAGGCTTACTGCCTGTTTTGGAGGCAAAGGAAAAGATGTCTACAGCTGATCGTGAAGGCTTTTCAAGGGCTGCATTTATAAGACTAGTGATTATAAAGAATGGGTTGGAAATATAAACACATATGCAGAATAATGTGATCCTTTATTGACAACGTTTCGCCCACACAGAGGGCTTTTTCAAGTCACAAACAGATCTACCTGGGGTGGAAGGTACGCAAGTATTTATAGTCAGGTGGAGATTACCGCATGTGGTGATCTACTGAGTGGGGTTATAGTCTAAAATCTTGGGTAGCTTGGAAGAGAGATTGGATAAGTGTGGGCAAAACGTTGCCAATAAAGGATCATATTATGCTGCATATGTGTTTATATTTCTATTGTGTCGGTATTTTATACCATTTATTTCCATAAAGAATGGGTTATAGCCAATGGTCACATTTTTTCTGTCAGGAAACAGCAAAAATCTCTTGATATGAATCTTTGCCAGATGATGACCCACTAGTAATAACAATGTTTATTTCTTTAAGCACTAGCCGGTTAATCCTCCACTGGCCTACCAGAGCTAGGTAGTACACCCCAGTGAAAAATCTAGTCATTGCCTAATAATCATCCTTTCTTTAATTATGCCATTTTTACCAGGCCTATTTTACTATCTCATATTTAAAGATTAAAGATTCTGGTGTTTGGTAAGTCAGGATATTAAAAGACAAGTGGACAGATTTAATTAAGTAGCTTGCGACTGGACGGTATCTTGGTTATGCTAGGTTTATATTAAAATTCCCAAAATTTATTAAGTGATTTTTATTTAGGATTAAATCTTTGTAGTTGTTGCAAAAGTTTATCAACCTTAGAGGATGAAAGTTAGTATATAGTATTGTTAAAATTGAAATTAAAGCCTTTTGAGTTCTTGGTTGAAAATTGTGCAAATATATGTTCATCTCTCTGTGTTTATTATGCATTATTTCACAGTATTTTTTTTTTAATACAAATTATAACTCAGCCTCCTTGGCTGCAGGACAAACTTTTGAGCAATGAAATATGTGGAAACAGACTGTTGAAGTCTGGACTTTCATACAGCAATTGCAAGTTTTGCCGTGCAACTTCAAAATTGGGCTTATCTATCTTTGGGCCAAACTCTGCATTATGTTCAATGAAGCTCTGATGACGGCATATGCTGGAAGAATGGAGCAGCCATGAAGCAGAAAAAACAGCAAACCACTAAGCTCTTCTGCCATTATTATCCATCTATGCCATCAACTGAGCTTCGATGAACATAATACTGAGTTTGACCCACAGGAAGGTGAGCCCACCCTTGCAACTGGTGTACAAGAGTTACCAGAGTCATAGAAGGTCCAGACTTCAACCATTGCTGCCATATGTTTCAAAGATCAAATGTTTGTCCTGCAGTGTCACAACTTTCTGAACAGACTGTGTGAATGCAGTGAAATTGGCATACTCATTTGCTTTTAAAACAAATTAATGCAGTGTTAAGTGTGCATAATAGATTCACAATTTTAATTTTCAATTTCCATTTTAGATTCCTAATTAAATACATATACTACATATACAGTGGAACCTTGGTTTTCGTGATGAATCCGTTCTAAAAAGTCTGATGAAAACTGAATCATACGAAAACTGAAGTAATATTTCCCATAAGAAATAATGTAAATCCAATTAATCCGTTCCAACACCCAAAAATAATAACAAAAATTACATTTTATAGAGAATAACTATAGTTTTACATACAGAAAACAATGAGAAATAAATCTAAATGAGTAATGAAATGGATAAATGAACATTTAACATCACTTTTACCTCTATTGAAGACTTGCTGGCATATGGAAGACGGCGAGGAGGGGAGAGGGAGGAGGAGAGGTTATTGTTTGGAAGGGGAATCTCCTTCCATAAGGGCTTCAGGTATCAAGCCCCTATCTGGGGTTACTTCCCTTCTTTGTTTTTTACTGGCACTAGGACCAGCTCGAGTCACTGTACCCGTCACACAAAAAATCTGGCCAGAGAGGTCTGTTTCTGGCATCTCTTTAAGATTTGCTTAAAATGAGACAAGGCATTGTCATTGAACATGTTGCAGACATGGCTTGCAATAGCTTTGTTAGGGTGATGCTCACTCAATGAGAAACAAAGGCAGACTGAGTCACAAATGCATGGGATGCTATGTGTGGGTGCTTGAGTGGCTGAGTCACATGGACGCATTTGGTATGGACCATTTTCAACTCTATGAAAACTGCGTGGATGTATGAAAACTGGGACAAAATTTCGACGAAAAAAGTAAAAAACCAAATCCTACAAAAACTGGGGCATATGAAGACTGAGGTTCCATTGCACACAAGAATTTTTCAACATTTTTGGCATAGAGAACATCCTTCATATCTGAATACATAATCGCATGCCAATATATTAACCCTTAAACTGTCCAAGCAGATCTACGTTCACATACGTAGTGCTCCAAAAGTAGATCTATGTTTTTTTTTTACATATTTTCAAATATAACAAAAAAAAAAAAACATAGATCAAAGTTTTTTTACACTTTTTCAAATGTAAAAAAAGAAAAGATCTACTTTTGTTACATACTTTCAAATGTTGAAAAAACGTAGATCTACATTCGGACAGTTTAAGGGTTAAATACGTGTGATCATAAACTACACCATAGATATACATGTAATTACCATAATTTCCTTGAAGGATGACATGAAACTCAGCAATGAATAGTTGATCAACAGTCTCTCAACATTAACATTTCTGTGGAATTTCTTGCAAGACAGACAGAGTAATTCACCAGTAGCGATAAAATTCACTACACAGCTGCGACAAAAGCTATAGCCACAGGGCAAGATCAGTGGCTCATGACTCCCTCTCTTGTACATCATTGAGCACACTGCACATACCATGCCCTCCATCTTGTCTCACTGGATCAGTAATGTCACTAACCTTTGGAAAAAATGGTATACTGAGTGATAAACTTTTACCATTGTTTCATAATCTTATCTTTTCAGTCACAGGAGGAAACAAGTTTTCATATAATTTTAAGAGTCGTAACTTGTACATCTCTTCTGGTATCATGATGTAATGAGTCTGTATGCCATTTACAGAAACTGAGGTGATTAATCTGTATTTAATCTGAATAATTTTGTGCACATTTATATAGACTGGCCCCACTTTACAGCACTTCACTTTACAGTATTTCACCAATGCAGTTGTTTTAAATTATACCCATTCTTCATTTATTCAGACTTCCTACAATAAATATATTCACCATTCATTATAAGCCTCAGACACACACAATCCAAACACCAAACAACCAATCTTGCTTAGATTTAACAACTAAATAAACAATCCTCATTAGGAAAGCCATAACACAAAAACAAACACATAAGTAATGACAGTATACCTGGAAAGGGTTTCGGGAGTCAACGCCCCCCGCGGCTCGGTCTGAGACCAGGCCTCGTATGTAACTATACAGGAACTGTTCCTTCATCAACCCTCTCATCTAGACCTAAACTAGGATAAGTGACTATTGATCAACTTACTCAATAAGGCATTTACTGGACTAGTCCTAGGTAATGTAGCTCGTCTTTCTCATCTAGACATGTACTATGTTCAGGAACTATAGCTAAACCTAATTTGGACATGCATGAAGTTCAGAAACTTGGCTTGCGGTTTTGCGGTCTTACGTCACCATCAAGCTTGTGACCGCTCATTAACAACTGAAAAACTAAAATTCTTGTAATTGTAAATTTTAATTTGGTTATACTATTTTTTATAATCATTCTCATACAAGACAGATGTGACGTGCTACTCATGAATGCACATAGCCCTGGGGCCAAAGTTCAAGAGCCTCAGAGTACCACTGAATGTCTTTACAAGTCAATATTTAATTTCCTCCCTCCAGCAGTTGGGAAAATTCACAGGCACAAGTGTCGTGGCTCCATGCCTTCTCTCTCACTGCAATATTTTATCGACAGCCAACATTGAATTTATTGCTAGGTGTGCAAGTTCTTTTTTGCTTTCTCCTTACATCCAGTCATGACAGGAGAAAAAAGTTCTGAATTAGCTATGTGGGGTGTTAAATAGTTAACACTGCGCGTTATGGAGAGGTCATTTCATTTTTTAAATTATAGTTTAGACACACAAAAGAACACTACTGTAGGCCTATTGGCCCGTGCTAGACTGGTCCAACTTACACCCGCCAGCACACCCACTTATATACCCATCCAGACTATATTAAATATACTGAAGGGCAACGTCCTTTGATGAGTCCCTTACCAGCATTAAGGTACCTCCCGTGAGGGTCGTGACATGGCAAATGCTTTCCAGCCTCATTAAGAATGGAAATGGAGTAAGAGTACATTCATCGAGGATCGCCAGAGCCTTCTGGGACCCCAACGAGGTACTACCTTGAGGGAGGCTCGGAGGGACCCAACAAGGTACTACCTTGAGGGAGAGGCTCGGAGGGACACCAGCGAGGTACTACCTTGAGGGAGAGGCTCGGAGGGACACCAGTGAGGTACTACATTGAGGGAGAGGCTCGGAGGGACACCAACGGGTACTACCTTGAGGGAGAGGCTCAGAGGGACACCAACGGGTGCTACCTTGAGGGAGAGGCTCAGAGGGACACCAGCGAGGTACTACCTTGAGGGAGAGGCTCAGAGGGACACCAACGGGTACTACCTTGAGGGAGAGGCTCGGAGGGACACCAACGGGTACTACCTTGAGGGAGAGGCTCGGAGGGACACCAGCGAGGTACTACCTTGAGGGAGAGGCTCAGAGGGACACCAGCGAGGTACTACCTTGAGGGAGAGGCTCAGAGGGACACCAGCGAGGTACTACCTTGAGGGAGAGGCTCAGAGGGACACCAACGGGTACTACCTTGAGGGAGAGGCTCGGAGGGACACCAACGGGTACTACCTTGAGGGAGAGGCTCGGAGGGACACCAACGGGTACTACCTTGAGGGAGAGGCTCGGAGGGACACCAACGGGTACTACCTTGAGGGAGAGGCTCGGAGGGACACCAACGGGTACTACCTTGAGGGAGAGGCTTGGAGGGACACCAACGGGTACTACCTTGAGGGAGAGGCTCAGAGGGACACCAGCCAGGTATTACCTTGAGGGAGAGGCTCGGAGGGACACCAACGGGTACTACCTTGAGGGAGAGGCTCAGAGGGACACCAGTGAGGTACTACATTGAGGGAGAGGCTCAGAGGGACACCAGCGTGGTACTACCTTGAGGGAGAGGCTCAGAGGGACACCAGTGAGGTACATTGAGGGAGAGACTCAGAGGGACACCAGTGAGGTACTACATTGAGGGAGATTCAGAGGGACACCAGCGAGGTATTACCTTGAGGGAGAGGCTCGGAGGGACACCAACGGGTACTACCTTGAGGGAGAGGCTCAGAGGGACACCAGTGAGGTACTACATTGAGGGAGAGGCTCAGAGGGACACCAGCGTGGTACTACCTTGAGGGAGAGGCTCAGAGGGACACCAGTGAGGTACATTGAGGGAGAGACTCAGAGGGACACCAGTGAGGTACTACATTGAGGGAGATTCAGAGGGACACCAGCGAGGTATTACCTTGAGGGAGAGGCTCAGAGGGACACCAGTGAGGTACTACATTGAGGGAGAGACTCAGAGGGACACCAGTGAGGTACTACATTGAGGGAGATTCAGAGGGACACCAGCGAGGTATTACCTTGAGGGAGAGGCTCAGAGGGACACCAGTGAGGTACTACATTGAGGGAGATTCAGAGGGACACCAGCGAGGTACTACCTTGAGGGAGAGACTCAGAGGGACACCAGTGAGGTACTACCTTGAGGGAGAGGCTCAGAGGGACACCAGTGAGGTACTACATTGAGGGAGAGGCTCAGAGGGACACCAGTGAGGTACTACCTTGAGGGAGAGGCTCAGAGGGACACCAGTGAGGTACTACCTTGAGGGAGAGGCTCAGAGGGACACCAGTGAGGTACTACCTTGAGGGAGAGGCTCAGAGGGACACCAGTGAGGTACTACCTTGAGGGAGAGACTCAGAGGGACACCAGTGAGGTACTACATTGAGGGAGAGACTCAGAGGGACACCAGTGAGGTACTACATTGAGGGAGAGACTCAGAGGGACACCAGTGAGGTACTACCTTGAGGGAGAGACTCAGAGGGACACCAGTGAGGTACTACCTTGAGGGAGAGGCTCAGAGGGACACCAGTGACGTACTACCTTGAGGGAGAGGCTCAGAGGGACACCAGTGAGGTACTACCTTGAGGGAGAGGCTCAGAGGGACACCGGCGAGGTAGTCACGAGGAAGCTGCTCCAAGTGACAATGGGACGCCAGGAGCCGCGTGGCTAACACACTGCTACAGCAAAACGTTAGTTATCCACATAATCCTATCTTTTCCTTCCTTAGATCGAATATGAATGCTTCTCATTCCTCAGGTGTTGTATAACCCCCATTGGGTTTAGTACTTCCCTATAAAGAATAATAATCATGACCTGGAAGTAACAAGGTCAACGATTCTCTTTTTTTCAAGATCATGCAGTTCCTCTGAGAGAGTGAGTCACCTGAAGTTATCTACCTAATTAGTACATTTTTAAATTTTTGCCCCAAGGGACGAATTTATTGGTGAGCGTCACTCATGAGTAAACAGTCATATAGATTATACTGAGCAGCAATGGCACCTTTAACAAGTATCTAAATTTTAGGATGCCTTTAATATTGAAACCTGGGCTATATGGTCCTCTTGTCTTTAAATTAAAGGAAGTGAATTCATTAGTCTTCCCAACATCTCACAGTCCCAGCTATAGACACGTCACCTAACCTAATGTATTTTTTTTTATATTTATTTACTGTTACGTAAAGTCAATGATATACTATTTTTCGTAACGTTCAGACTTCCACTGATTTATGGCAAAAATAAATATTTCACTCGGCTTATTCGGCCAATGTGGACGATTCGGCTTATTAGGCACGACATACGTATGTCGCTGGCTTGCGACACCCGTTGCTGGGAAGCCAGCGACAGGTGTCGGTCAAATGACCAAAACCTCCCCAAGTATCGGCTCATTATTTTACTAAGATCAACAGTTCTCCTGACACAAGTGACCACTTCCACCACCAACAATTTAGGTACAGGAGCAGATACTGAAGCTGTAAACATGAAAGTCTTTGAATAAGAGAGTTTAATAGACACATGAGTGTGATTCTGATAGACAGGTGGTCCTGACACAGGAGTGAAGTGTGGTGTTGATGATGTATTAGTGGCACCAGCGTTGAGGCTGCTGGTGACGACGCTGTGGAGTCAGTTTACTGGCGACAGTGTTGGCAGAGACGGTACTTGTGGACGTGGTGATAAGTTAGGAGTGTTGATGTCATCTGGATGACCATAACAATAGGTAAGTGTTACCATAATGCACCTAGAAAGTGGCAGTATTTTTAGTTCCCCACTGGATCAATGATCTTAAATTTACAAGACCTTCCATTGACACATTGCCACTGGTTAGCTAACACTATTGACATTTTCATCTCAGACTCTGGCTCTCGGTGTCAGATATTGGTGTTAGTCAATCCAATGTAGTTTCAATTAAGCCACAGTTAACCCACAACTGATTCACTTTGGATACAGTGTGTATGTGATGTAAATAGCTGTGTGTGTTTCGGCCGCTGCGCGATCCGGCCAGCAGTAACAGCCTGGTTGATCAGACCCTGGTCCACCATGAGGTTTAAAGCTGCTTTCTCTAGTTATCATTATTGAAGGTTTGAAGCCAATCAGATGAGGCATTCATTGTTATATGAAAAAATGACTAATTTAAATTATCTAGTTTTATCAATAAAAATGGCATATTGGCACCTACATAACCCCGAATTTATCCAACAATTAACCTTTACCAGGCCTGGAGAGGGGTAATTACCCTTTTCCACTCCTGGTAAAGGGGTAATTACCCTTTCCCAGGCCTGGTAAAGGGTTAAGGTTCAAACTCAAGTCACAACAGACATTATCCAGTTCTACACAGAAATCAATCATTAAACTTATCAAATTAAATAACACAACCAAACAGTAATATGGCGCTTCCTTTAAGGAAAGCACACCAGCGCTTAAAGTTTGAAGCCAACCAGCAGATGTCTTCTCCAGTTCTCACCCAGAATCCAAATATTCTAACTATACCACGGGTGGGGTTAGAACCCGCGATCAGAGAGCCACAGAACTCCAGACCGTCGCGGGTTCTAACCCCACCCCGTTGTATGGTTTATTTGCAATCGTGTCAATACGATTTCGTGAGTCCAAACATTCTATTTTTCAACCATATTAGAAAATAGTCAAATTCACATCAACACAGCCAAAATTAGAGGAGCATCGTCGTCATCACACACCCCAGCCATTAAGGACTGTAGCTGTTCACAAGAAGTGTACAAAACTTATTGTATAGTTAATAATGAAACATTTTAAAAATTAATCACAATTATTTTTTAAGTAGGATACAACGGTATTAAAATTTGAAGACAAACAGAAGAGGCTTTCTCGGGTTATCGCAAGGAAACTAAATCCAGAAATAGTTTATGTAATATTGACCAGAAAGTGCATATACATGCCCAAAATAATTACATTGCATCAACTTTGACAGTTTAAAGCCTATCTGATGAGGCATTCTCAATTTATAAACGAAAACATTAGAGGAATAAAAAAAAACCAGGTGACCACTTGGGGTACCACTTTAGGAATCCCTAATAAGTCACAACATGAGGGTTGAAACAATTCACGAATAACCCACAAGTTGGGGATTAAACTTAGTCGATGTTTCGGTCCTTCTTGGGCCATAATCAAGTCGTTCACGGTTTGTTATTAATGGTCCAAAACGGACCGAAAAGTCTTCTAATTTTAAATTTGTGGATTAGTAGTGAATTCTTCAAGCTATGGTCTTGTGATTCGATTAATACGTTATTTTTTGTATCTTATCGTGAGAAGTCTTCTTAATGCACTCGAGCAACGAGATAACATTGACCCAATATATTTCTTGCGTGTTGGGTCACGGAATATTTGTCTTGGCACTTGTCTGTGTGTCAGTAATTGTACGTGTGTGTGTCAGCACTAGCCTGTGTGCGTCAGTACTTGCCTACCTATTGTCAGTACATATTTGCAGTACAGTATGCTAACGTTCCATCCCAGCTGACGTACGCCAGACATTACTGGCCGTAGTTAAAGGCAATGGCAGTATATTTTAATGTTATTGTGTAGAGGACTTACCGTCACCTTGCGAGCAGCATCGCAAAACACACTGCTGAAACACACTGCCAAATTTAGCAGTGTATATACACTGACCTAGGCAGTAGCTGCCTAAAGCCGACGTAACTCAAAATACTCTTAATATCGTCTGTCGTAAAATAACGCTAGGGGAATAAGCGGCAGTCAGACTTAATTCGTACAAGAGAAGAGTAGCTTTAAATCCTCGGAACAAAAGCCCTTCATTAGCCTCAAGGTAGCCCTTATATAAGGGCTGAAAAAGTAAAGATAGTTCCAATAAGAGACTTTCACGAACATCGCAGCACTCTCCGTGAAGCCTATAAGCTGCGCCGGTCCGCGGGTCTGGAACTGGAAGCAAGCACACAGCAGACCAAAGCTCTCGCTTCAAGCATATTATGAGACATTGGTGTAGTGAGC